TTGGCTTTGAAAATCAGTAGACGTAGATTTGACTTGTCACTCTAAAAGGCGAGCTTCGCAAGATCCAGAATTTAGAGTTCGGTATTCGAGTTATCTCTGGATAAGAGGCGAAAGGAGCGCTTCCAAGCTTTTGGGACGGGATCTTTCTTTCCCACGATCAGCCACGCGGGATGGGGTTGTTAGAGCCTAAAGCTTGTCCGAGCGAGGCAGTGGTGGTTGTCATTGATGCGCGCACTACCATTAGCCTCCCCTCCCCCTCCTCGGATTTTGGTCGCGGATGAGATCGAGCACGTATACATTCGACGTACCGTCAGCGTTGCGGCTAACAATGCGTGGTGGTGACGTTGTGTGTTTGTTGTTTTCTTTGTAGAGCGAGCCGCGGGAGACGCCGCCGCGGGTGGCGACGACGACGACGCCGACGCCGTTTCTGCCAGCGGCGTCGCCGAGCTCGTCCCGGACGACGACTACGGTCAGTCCGGCGCTGCGGCGGACGCCGGCCTCTTGTTTCGCTGTAGAATTTGTTGGAAGGGTTTCAAGCACCCGATGTCGTTGACACTGCACAAGGACTTGCACGCGGGCCAGACCAGGTGTCCGATTTGCCAGCGCATTTTCAGTCGAAGTTACGACATGAAAACACACTTGCTGCGCATCCACAAGCGTCAGCACACGCTCAGTGTATTCGACGTCAACTCGAGCTTTTGAAAATTATGATGAGAAATTCTCCCCCTTCCCACCCCTGGGCTTTTCTTCCTTCTCTTCTTGGGCTTCTTGGACCGTCCGTTTTTTCGCGCGAAGTCAATTATTTCTTATTGCTGTGAGAAAACATCTTAATGACAGATTTCTCGTGATATTTAAAGCCGAATGTATATTAGCGAAAATAATATAAGAAGCTTCCATAGAGCGCAATCTGCATGAATATCTATTTTCTGGACTGTTTCAAGTGGATTTCATCTATTTTTAATGGAAATTTAACTTGGAGCTTAATTCTTAAGACATTCGACATGTTCGCTGTTAAACAAATCTTGCATGATCAACGATATTATTAACTTCGGATGCGAGTAACGTTAGTATTTGAGAATGAAAGGACAAGCGAGATGAATCTCTATTCATCACAAAATACTCGAATCGAATGCCTGCGAGAGAGAAACAAAAAAAAAAAAAAAGAAATCTTATCGAGTCTAAAGATTTAACTCACGAATTCTTATTAAAAACAGCTTTCGTGAATATACGATGTAAATGTGTGAAATCGTATGTCTGTTGTAGAGTCTCTAAACGAATTGGCAATCTACATGACAAAACTACCACCTCTACCACCTAAACCTACATATATACGAGATGACTATTATGATACATCTCCGAGTCCGTCTGCAACGTGGAATGTGTTACACGATAATAATCAGATCGTGCCTGATAATATTGAGATAAAGAAGAAAAAGAGGGGACGGCCACCTAAAAGTTCGTACCTAAAGAAAGAGCAGAATTTGATTCCACCTCGGAATTTGGCTGTAATGCGGAACTTGTCACGTCACGAGATCCAAAAAAAGAAAGGACCGGCTATACAAGTAAAGCGACCCTGTAAAAGGTGTCGCGAAAGAAACATCAGGATACCTACCTATAAAGACAAAAGGAGTTATTCCAATTCCATTGTTCAAGTGACGACTTTCTGTAACGAATGCGTTGGCAAGCCTCACTTTTGCCTGCCTTGCTTTAATATAGTACATCAGATTACATCCGAGTGAAATATCCTTGTTTTACAGGAGCAAACATATTTTGCTAGCAATACCTTTTTTATAAATCATACCTTTTTCTTAAATATTGAGATTTCTTACTATATGCATTAAATATTACATTTTCTAATCGAACTCAAAAGACAGAGTTCCTTACATGTGATTAATTATTAATTCTTTGCGGACGGGATAGTTTAGAAGTTTGCTGGGTGTCAGCAAGAACAGGGTGCGTTCGAATGTTAACATGTATAATATATTAGTATAATATAATATAATATAGTATATTATAATATATTATATAATATAATATATTATAATATAATATTAGTATATTATAATATAATATATAATATAATATAATATAATATAGTATAGTATATTATAATATATTATATTATAATGTAATATAGTATACTATATAATATATTGTACAATAATGTGTCGATATAAACAAACGATAGACACAGAGTATGGGAATAGCTCGAGGCGCGTCTAATACGATAAAATCATGTCGGGAATGTCTCGACATGCGTCCGCAAAGGGTTAAAGCAGCGAACATGTTATTCTTGAAAATTATTAATTTTGCATTAAGGAAAAATTGCTTACAAATTTCGAAATATTTTATACTAAAATACATCTTATTGCTGACGAGATAGCATATGTATGGAAAAAAGTTTATATAAGTGATTCTGACGATTTCTGTAACACATTCTATTACATTCATGGAAATTTATTTGTCTGAATATCAAGCACCAGTTTAAATGTCAATTTTCGATCTCCGCAAGGGAGATTAGATACCTTATTATTTTATATATTTAAGCGTGCAAATAAAGCAAAGCGTTTTTATTTTGAGCAATAAAAATAAAACTCTAAAGATCTTGCCAATATAGAATTAAAGATGTAAATAAGATCGAAGGTGCTTACGTTATTTTGTTACTTATGGAACATTCATTATAACCGGAAAAATTTTATTGATCTAAACGACGTGCCATGAACTAGAAATATGTATTAAGAATATTTAACCCTTCGATCTATAAGTTTTCTTCTCTCTCATTTGATAATTTTAATGTATTTCGTACTTAATAATATAAGATAAAATTTAAAATTTTTATTAAAGTTAAATTAAAACTATTACAATTTTTTAAATATCTATAATGCAATTTTTTTCAATTTTGACATATTATTTCAAAAATTTAGGCATCTAGGTACAAAATGTTCTCATCATATAAATCGAAGGGTTAAGGACATTATTATTTTAAGTTTTTGCAGAATTGTTTTGAAATTTGCTAAACACAATTGTAAGATCGTTAAATAATATTTTGTTTTCTACCATTGTCGACATTTATTTTTAGTTTTTTTCTAGATCCACTTTATTGACTTCATTGTTGATCTCTTTGATTCTTGTATTCTCACTGCATAATTATATTGTGAATACATATATAGCCATCGATTGCATTTTATTGTAGATATGCAATGAGAAAACGAATCACACATTTTAAAACATCGAAAATTACAATTCGAGCAAAAGTGCGATCTGATATTTTTCAAAAATCTTACAATTAGAATTACTGAAAATGAATATGTGCATGTATTCGGGATGATATATTTTGCCATTATATTATACCATATATATACAATCTTGCGTCGCGCGTGTTCCGAACTTTTTTAGAATATTTAGTGATAAAATACTTACATGTTTGAAATCAATTTTGTATAAGATTTGCGTATTATCAGTTCCAATGATAATCAATTACATTGGTTGTGAGTTTCTAATAAAAGTATTGTAAAATGTATTATCGTATTATTCGCTTTAGCAACAAGCAAAACTGTGCGATCCGGCGCAATTAACAACAATTGGAAAAATAGGGTGCAGCGAGCGACAAATCAACGGCAATAAAAAAAAAAAACCGAATCGTTCAAAAACGACGCGATTCGACGTTAGAATTTCAAGACATTTTCATATGGAAGAGTTTTATTTCTTTATTATGTTCAAAGGGAGAACTTCGCATGAGTCTCGGTGTCCGCAAGCTTTTTGACATTTTGCCATCTCAAAGAATTCTCCTTTTCGTTTCTGGCTGAAGGCTTTATTGAACATGCTTATGGGGACTATATACCTACTTATATTGGTTACGAGCTCTTAACACAAAATCCCGACTGTCGTATCGATGTACGGTACACATACTCGACACAAAATGCGTTGGCGAGTATAATGTATGAAGGGCTGGCCTGTCAGCAGAAGTAGTAATTAGAGGCACAAGTCAGGCATCAATGATTTTTCATGATTTGCCATAAATTCAAGAATGTTCGGTCAATTTTTTATAACATTACAAACTATTAATTATAGTTTGTAAGTGCACTTTTTTAAAATCAATCATTGGTTCTTAGAAATATTATTGAGAGAATAAACATATAATTTGATTATTAAAATATGTCGAATAAGTATAATTACAGATTAAAAAAGATCCCTCTTGTGATATCGATTTTTGATATCGAATTAATTATTACTTAATAAAATTAAATATATTTTTTTTACACAATTTTTTCATGTAAATCTTCATGATGGGTCGCCCCTTCCTATTTTTTCGAAAGTGTCCCTGACGGCCTGAGACCAAACCTTCACTTATCTGCACTAAAAACACGTTTTAGTGCGATGCAGCATATAATTAAATAAATTCAATATTCAGAGTTTATCGTGTGATCATAAACGTATTCTTATAAGCACACACCTGTATGTGACATCTGATTCAATTAGGATTTAGAATGGTTCTTTTTACACATTGGAAAAATTTTTCAAAATTTGAGATCTTTACATTTTTTTTGAAACTTTAATTTAAAATTTTTATATTTTAGATTTATACAATTTAATTACACACATAATAATGTTTATATCTTTTTTTTTATCGTTAATTAAACTTTACTAATGATATAATTTTTGTTTTATTTTTTTATGCAAAATATAGTTTGTGTTATTCAACATGTCATTGCTTCGAGTTCTTTGCATACAAATCTCAGATATCTCAACTGCATAATAATGAGACGCAATTTATCGGTATCGGTGAGTGCTTATCAGATTTCTTTCATTGCCGTATCTCCGGAGAGAAACAACAACAACAACCGACACACCGAGACAATCGAAACCACGAATTGACGGAGAACAAAAACAAAAAAAAAAAAAAAGATCAGAAAAAACATCTCTTTGCGCACGACGAAAAACTGTTACATAAAAATATGAGACCGTGTGTGTATGGGAAACACTTTGGATTGTGTGCGCAGAATCAGAGCACAATTACGGGAAGCATCAACCGCAACCGCAACAACAACCGCAACAACAGTCACCGCAGAACACAAGCCTCGTTCTCGACGGGATCAGGCGCAGGTCTAAGCTGCACTACGTGGTGGAAAGCGGTCGCTGGGTGTGCGATGTCTGCGGGCGAACCTACAATCGTGGCGATTCTCTAGCCCACCATCGCAGCATACACAGGGGCGATACCGTGTGTCCGATCTGTCAGACGGTCTTCACACGAAAATACACCATGCGCTGTCACATGGTGAACGTGCACGGAGTCAAGTAACCGTTTAAACGGACGTGAATGTTGCGACGGCGAGGGCTCGACAGGGACGCCCGATGAAGGGCGAAGCAGGGGTTTCGCAGTTTCCTGCAGATATTCTCGCATCATTCGTGAAAAACTAGAGCGACCGAAAAGTTTTAAGTATATCCTCGGCAAGAGGTGTTCGCGAGTTATTGCACAATTATCTGATATCGATGTAGACAAGTATTTTTTTTTTTTTATATTAATATTTTTATTATGCGCGGTGTGCAATGACGAAACGAACGGCAACTTCGATGAAATACGAGTCTGGTTTCTCGCGGATGGTGGTCGATTACGTAGACTTTTCAATCGCCCGGACAACAGGGATATGAGTCCTTGAACAATTGACATCTCTTACGAAATAGTAAAATCTTGAATTTCTCACATTCCAATAGAATCCTGGGATTCGCGGATTTTACAATTTTGGATTTCGCAGATCTTGCACGGAATCTTTGATTAAGTTAATTAAAATTAAATTTTTTGCTGGTAAAAGGATTGAATAGAGAGTAAATGTCGAATCGAATAGTTTCCTCGTGTCTCATAAACTAAATCTCGAGGATCGATCATTTTTTGCGAAATATGATCCGCATTCTTCCAGATGTGAGAAAAGTTCACGACGTGTACATATATGTGTGTATAATGAAAGTATAAAGTAGGATAAAAATTATCTTTCTCTCCCTTCGGGAAACGAAGCTTGCAATGCGTCGTACTTAAATGTCACAGTGACTTTACGAGCCTGCCCGACTAGACTGACCGTATTAAGTTTTATCGAGCGATCTCGATTAAGCTGCACAAAGGGGGTTACCGTGTGTTACGTTGCTACACCACTACTTGGCGAAATCAGAACATCTCTAAACGTAGTATCGATGGACAATCTCCGGACTGGAAAAGCTTTAGGAGCATCATTCGCGCGCGTTTTATCTAGAGCGGCAGTTGTCCTGCAAGTGACACGAAATCTGTCCATTCTTCTCCCTTATAGATATAATTGTGCATAATTTACAAGGTGCAATCATCTCACATTAATGTCATATGTATAAATTACTTGTGTAGATGTTTCGAGTTTCTGTCTCAGCAGAAAGCTTTAGACGATTGTCGGTCACATTGCCCGATCGATCAATCTTATCGTTGTGTATTTAATTGATGTGATTCGTTTACGATTCGTAAAAGAACTAGAGAGCTTGTAAAAAAAAAAAACTTTAATGTAGAATAGAGCTCGGTATATATAGCTTAATTTGTGACATATATCCTTCAATGATTGGTAAAGTCGTACGATAAATTTCACTCAACATGTAATAATAATCGATGACATATATTTGGCGTATTTTTAGTAACCTGAATGCTTACGGATCAATCGTTTTTTAGTGTTCATTTCACTACTGCCGTTATTTTAATGCAGTTCGTATCGTGAAGAATCTTTCTTGCGAAAAAAAATTGCGTTTAGATATCTCGATGCGAAAATTATCATGTGATTGACTTCTAGCAAAAAAATCGATACGGGATATATAATTCTATATACAATGAATATCTTATAGCATACGTAAGGCTAATCTTGAAAATCTTATCGAAATAGGTTGCTCCAGCTTGTAATCGGATTTTACTTAAGTTTATAGCTCTCTTTTTTTTCAGAGATTTTTACTCATTTGCAATGTAAAAATTTTATTTGTAGCCTATGCGTGAATTACAACGTAGTTGTGGAATATATAAAACATGCGAATCACCTTATACATTTCTTTTGTATTTTACATTCTTGAAATAAAGTCATGATATCCGTACGTATGTTTCTTTTCGGCCGCGGAGTGCGTGATTCTCTTATTGCATGGAACAATTGAATACTTCTCCGCCGAAAATCTTTGATACGAATGCCATGAAAAAAATTTTGACATAACAAATATGCGATAAAAATTAATTTAGGCTATAAGAATTTAATAATTGCGCATAAATATATAATACTTACGATATTTATTTGTTAGATAAGACAAAAATTTTAATAAAAACGACTTCGCTTTAGGATAATGAAGTTCTGGCACGGTTTAATGAAACTTGCGAAGAAATTTCGCACCATTTTGCAGTCAATATTTTTTTCCTTTTATCGTAAAATATGCTAAAAGGTATTCCTGTCATAGATTTGGCGAATATTTCCTTCGACATGCGAATGTAATAATTCACAAATCATGGAATCTTCGCGCATGACTCGTCGCTCCATATCATGTGCTGCAGCAGTCGCATATGCGACTCATTAACAGTGCGATCCGATTAATAGTGATTTAAAGGAATACATGATTGTCGGTTCACTGCACATAACATGCGATTGGCAGTATATCGCGAGCTATGAACTGCGGGCTGGATATTCGGCCCACGATTTACGAATTAAGATCCGCTCCGAATTACATTATGCATGAATATTGAATATTTTGTATATGTACTCGT